TTGCCAGACATCAGCACACTGTCTGTTTTTTTTTTTTACCGTCTGTCCCCAAAAAGTAAAAAAGAAAAAAAGATATACAATAAATTGTTCAAATGTTTGTATTACTCTAAAGATCAAACTGCTTTATATTCTTTAAATGTTAAAATTCACCAAATAAGTTATAATTGTGGTGAATCAATTGCTTTTGTTTTTCAACTTCTCCAAAGACGCGGACGGGAGAGGGAATAGACTGTGTCCAAATACGCACGTAAACTGTGTCCCTGCTCGCGTATGTATGCGTGCACTTGACTGCTCTTCCTTTTGTCTTTGATTAAGCAAACGCATATAAAACACTGTTATTTAACTCGCTGCATGAGTGACCTACCATATTCCAAAGTTTTTCTGTGCGCATTTCTTCAGTGCGAACATGACACAAAAACATCTCCTTTGACAAACTAAAAGAACTGGAGCGATCGAACAGGTAATATGACGATTTCTGTCAGCTACTTCTATATTCCAGTCCGATGTCAAAAGTCCCAGAGCGACTTTTTTGTATAAGGTCCCATTCTGGAAACAATGAAAAAGTCCAATTGGAGCCTTATAGATAAAACTACCCCTGTAGCTTAGAGGAAAAAAATGATTTCTTTGAATAAATACTGCCCACTGATGTCTTTCAAAATCACGCAAACTGCCGAGCAGGCACGTAATCAAAAGTCCAGCGAGATTGAAAGTCCACAAACAGGGATCTCCGACCCAGGCACCGGAGAAACCGGAGCGTCCGTGAACCGGAGCGTCCGTAAACGCGACCTGGACCTGGACCCGGAGTAGCGCTGCATGCACTACCCGCACTCCACAACTACGGAGCGGCTGGACAGCATCCTTCACGCGCTGCCGGTCATGCGCCTTGCAGAGAAGCGCCTTTGCCTTAAGTCCTTTCAATGCGTTTCGCTCCTAATGTGTGCGTCCCTTCGTTTACCGAGTCTTGTCTGGTGTGGTCTGAGTGCACTTTGGAGCGATTCACAGATACACTCTCACTCCGCTCTGCCGCTTGGCGCTGTGTGAGCCAGCAACAAGTTTTGCATTTCTGCAGCCGCTTCCATCAATGAGCCTTCAGCCAATCAGAACGACTAAAGAAAGCATCCAGGGCGGGACAAATGCTTTTAAGGTGGTCCATGAGATTGCGTGAAAATCAGATCTTAGAAATGGCTTTCGCTTGAAATGTAATGTTTTCATGTATTGTCACATCATCACATTTAAACTGGTCCTGAAGATAATTCGATTTTCTCCAAACGGATCTTCTTTTTTCCACAGAATTGTAGTCTACAACAAATGAGGTGAGGAAACACTGCTGCAACTCTCATATCCTCCACAGGAGGATGAAGTGAAATTCAGCACACTGCTGTTAAAGTAGTATGTTGCTCTAGCCCTCCTCAACCTATGAACAAACTTTTTTTTTAGCCCCTGCACCCGCTCATCCATGCAGTGACCAGCCCTGTAACATTTCCATTGCAACGACATATAGCTTAATGCAATGACTTACACCAGTAACAACAAGCTGTTGTTGAAGGAATAGCTGTTTACAGGCTGTATAAATGAAAGACAATCTCACATTAATCTGTGTCAATCACCAATGCTGAGGATGTTAAATATGTTCTCATGTGTAAAATGATGAAATCGTCAACATTGTCCTCAGTGGATTGACTGGAAGCACGTGCTGACTGAGATATGACGACCTATCAGAAATGTAGCCTAAATATCTAAGCTAATATTGATGCTGGGATAAAGGTATAAATAGACTAATATTCTATCATGTGTGTGTCGCTCACACCCCGGTGTCCAATCAAACTCGTCCCAGTCCTGTGTGTGAATATGTGTCCCAACGGGGGGAAAAAAATCCTCCTTAAAAGACCATCTGAACTAAATCATGTGGATGATATTGGGCTTCGGTTCCGATAATCAATAGCATTCTCTTAGTATTATAGTCTGTAAAATAGAACAATTTTCAAAGTTCAAATTAGGATAAGTTACTTCATAGGTCAATTAGCGGTAAGCCTACAAAGGCCGAAGTTATCTGTGCAAGGTTAAGTGGTGCAATAACCTGAGATAAGACTTTCAAATATTGCAAATACAAATCTTCATGTTCATGTAAATTTGGGGCAAAAATCCCAATAGAAGGAAGTCGGCCATAACAATTAAAAATAATTTTAATTGTATACCATACTTTGAGTTTTGCATAGGCATGTTTCGGATGTTGTATTTATTGTTATGTAATTGAGAATGTGTGTTCATGTTGTTTGGAGCTCACACGTCTCTCTCTCTTTGTCTCTTAGTGTATTCATCTAGTCGTTGGGAATTTTGGAGATTCCGTGGATCTTGTTCCTCTCGTGAATTTTGACATGACCGAGTTCACATTTATTTTCCCGTGTCAAATTGAAACTGCCTAGTAAAAATGTTAGTGGTGATATATTAAAAATATTTCAGATGTGTATTACAATTAATTGGATGGTGTGTATTTTGGGGTGTCTTATAAACTCTGTATATATTTGAAATAAAGGGAACAGGTGGGAATACTGAACACAATGTACTTCCATTCACCACCATGGACATTTTATTTGGTAAAATGAGAACACCATATTGTCATTTTCACAACATTATGGACAGTGGGCATTTAGAGGATTTGGTGTCAGACATCTCTGTACCTTTGGGGGGGAAATCAAGAGGACTTTTACCAAACGGACACAGTGCCACCTAGCGGCTGCCAACGTCCATGCTGAAGCATTCAGAGACAACTTTTAGATATGAGGCAAAGATCTAAACTGGAACATGCTGTAAATACAATTTTTGAATTGAAATATGAACCTGTAGCAGACAAATACTGCAATTTGGTTCATAAATCATACAAAACACTTGCGAGTAAAAGTGTAAAGTGGGAAATAATTTACCACTTATCTATTATCACTTTGTCAAATCTGTTCTATTTGTTGTCATGCGTTAAAGCAGTGTATTGTGTAATTATCCATCCCAAAAAAAAACTTCAGTCCCGCTGAATCTTGTTATTTTATGCGAACCCTAAGAATGTGGTATTAAGGAAAATGATTGCTACATTCAACATATTTCCTTTTCCTCTAGAACAACTGCAGCCGAGGTAAATAGAAAGAAATATAATGTACATGTATGATATTTCACAATAAATGTCTTGTTTGCAAATACAATAAAATGTTTTCTACAACACTGCTAATTTTGCTTTTTAGTGTTGTAGATGTTTCAGGTAATTTTAGCAATAATTAGTGCAAAGAAATAACCAGCTCCAAATGGGTGAAAACTGGCTCACAGAAGCAAGGCTATGTGCTCAGCCGTGCACCTAGAGGAGAAGGCTGTTTGTCAGGGCTGAGGGTGGGGACAGGTCAGGACAAGGAGTTGTAAGGTGCTGGGAAGAAGTTTGTGTGTATATTTAGAATTTTGAGGGGGGGGGTGGATGTGCACTCCTTGCAGCTGAGAGGACAGCAGCTCAGAGCGAGGAGGCAGGGAGAGACGGTGGTTGTGTTGTGAAGGAGACATGGTGTAAAGTACCTGTCTTCTCCAGAAGGAAGGAGCAGCATGTTGAGCTGTTGAGATGTTCTGAAGGCTGCTGTGCTTGTGTGGTGTGCTGCTAGGAGATAAAAAAAAAAAAAAACACACCTACACTCAGTATCACCTTGCTAGAGGATCACTTTCATATCAGAGAGCCAGCTGGATGCAGCATCATTATACTGTAGTTTTACCCAGACTGTAACCATAAACTGTTTTAGCCGAGGCAACCATCACTGCTATGTGAAGCCCCTTAGGAATACCAGGATTCATGTTGATTTCTCAACCGATAAAGGCTCGATGTGTCACAAAACCCAATTAACACAAGAATAAAAAAAAAACAAATTAAGATTTTGTATCATCTGACTGTGATACAGTTCCTGCTAGCTTGGACTACACTCTTCTCAGATGGAGACAGACAAGTATGACAAACCGATGGCACGTTCTCTTTCCCACTCCGTCCCCAGTGATGATAAATGCAGCTCAGAGCTGCTGCAGAGGGGACTTCATGACAATGGACAGTCTACGGCTTTCAAGCGCCGTCACAATACCTCTTCTCTGTAGTGATTTAGGACTCAATTTGTCTCAATATTTCAGTCAATGGGACAAGATAGCGGGAGTGGGTGCTCTCCTCTACCCTTAGTTCATGGTGTTCCTCAGATGAACATTTATTACCATGGGGGTTGCCCAAAGAGACCATTCCTTCCCTTGTTGGGGGGGGGATAGTGTCCTGTCCAGTTTGGCCAATATGAAGCACAGCCTAGGGTGTCCTGTATGGGCCCCGTCACTCAGCTGAGCCATCACAACTCTCTGGGTCAATGGGGGTTAAGCAGCATCTGTCATCTAGAAAAGAACCATTGTATTAAATGGAGGGATGCGACAGAGACCCCCTCCCCCCCCTCTCCTCGTCGGTTGGCTCCACACCTTTTCCACCTCTCCCAGAACAACAGGAAAACTCCAGAGAATCTCTGGAGCTAAACATGACCCAAGCCCAGAGGATGAGGAAACACTCCTGACATCACTGCCAACATGCCAGAAATAACTTTCCTCTCCAAGAAAACCTGCAGCCCCGGATCAAATCTGGCCTCAGGGGAAGGTCACATACACAAACACAGAAGGGGCGGACCTGACTTGGAGCTAAATCTCCACTCTCTCACCCCAGTGTGTCATCTTGTAGCAGATGCAGATCCATGTGGTGCAACAAACAGTGGTACAGCTTTAGTGTCTCGGTATTGGACACATTTGCTTCTGCTTGTGCGTTGAAAGCAACAAGCTGGTCGTTCTGGCCATCACAAAGTGTTTTTAGCACTGAACATCTAGATGTCCTGCTGTGTCAAGTCTTGAGCCTCCCTTTGAGATCCATTTCTTCCCTTCATCTGTTGCCTCGTCTATTTAAACGACAGGGGCTCACTCATGACATGTCCCTTCATCTTCTCTGTGAGAGAGACACATGGATGGATACATGTGTCCATGTAGACTACTGTGAGCTGCCACTTAACAGGAGGTGCGTGGGCGAGCCTGCCCATCTCCCCTTTTAGAAACAGCATCATTTGCTTGTTCTGGGGGCAGATATGACTGGTTTCCTTGCAGCAGGCACATGTGACCGTTCCTCCAGAAACAATAAAAAGGCGGATATCTCAGGCAGCAGACTGGCAGCTCTTCCTGCTCTTTAGCACGGATTCCGCTGTTATTGTGCGACTCTTGTGACCTGCAGGTCACTGAAAGTCTAGTCCATGCTGGAGTCACCAGGAACCAGTCTGAGGGGATGTTCATACTATCTGATGTGTATTTTTACAGTGGAGAACTAATGCTTCTAGTCAAGCCTCAGCCTTTGTCTAAGATATATTTTTGAATTAAAGATTAAACTCTTGTTGCATCTTCTATTAAAATCTGTCAGTGAACAGTTGTATAAAATATATGTTGTGAAGACTTCATTCTAAGCCAAAAGGAAATGAGTCTTACCACTTCCCTTTAGGTTTAGCCTTCAATCTCCAACAACCACCTGTATACAATCAAACAGCAGACGCACAATCTGAAAAATGTATTCTCCAGACAAAATTTATTTGACATTTAGATACAATATGAAGATTTAATGGCACACAAGATCACAGAAAGAAAGGCACAAAATCTCATTCACTACAATGTCCCCTGAATTTCAAAAGCTTTAAACATTTAAAAGCAAGCGGTTCAGAAATTAAAGTTGTAAATTTCATAAATTAGGATAATACTGTACAGTTGCTTTGCAAGTACTTCCTCTCCCCTCCTATCATTGTCTTGACGGTAAACCGTTGATTGAGGTTGTTCTCTTTAGCCACTGCCTTCTCTATTGAACAGACAGCAGGAATCATTTCGACACACTTCAAATCATTGATTACATTGAAGATCAATCGTGTCGTACTTTTCGCTCTTTGAGACGTATGAATACAATCACAGTACAGTCACAACGACCAACTGGCTGTCTCACATGGTGTGATAAAACGAAATGATGGGATATAATACAACCTCTCCCCATCATGTTGACACTGGATTACCAGTGGTACGGTGTAAAGAAGTCAATTGTTTGGGGCAACAATATAAAAAAAAAAAAAAGAAAAAAAATGCATGTCATATTGTTGACCTGAGAAGATTTTCTTGTGTAGAAAACCGTTGCCTTCCCAATCTTTCTAGATCACCAGCCTACAAATGCTGAATTCTTGTAAACATGTCAGAAATCCATTCATTCTCTTTGGACAAGCCAATAAGCCATTATTGAGAAGAGATCACACTCCCTCATACCATTTACAGACAAAACATTTGGATTGTTGAACGCAGATTATTTCATTATATGCTTGTCTTGAAAGGAACATGATCTCTAAAAACAAATCCCCAATTCCTGTTCCACAATTGAAGACATTGATACGTTAAACAAAGAACACAACACAAACGAGGATCAAATGAGGAAACCACTTGTACACTGTAGGCGGGAGACACATGAAGAGTCATTAACATGGCAAATCAATCAAAAGGCAGATCTGAGGCGAAGATGTAAATCTGCAGCTCTTTGCACCAACAGCAGTGTAACAAGCTGTTCCGGCTGCTACTTACATATTTTTTGCTTGCTGAAGGAATTACACAGGCTCAGTCGCTGCGACACATATCAGGAAACAAAGGGAGTCGCATGCGATATAAGAAAATAAAGAGTCATCACAAACAACTTTGCTCATAAAGCTCTTTCTGCAGTGATTTACTCTTATCGTTCTAACCTTTAGGTGTCAAGAAAATTGCCAGTCGGAAACAAGGGAGGTAGCGAGCGCAATAGCTGACAGCAGAGGTACAATAGTTATAATAGGTCCAACGGTACGGGGATTAAGGCAAGAAGTGTGTGGTGCTGGTGTCGAACGGGCACTGGTGAGGCTTATAGAACTCTGTAAACACACCGAGACTGTAGCGGAACAGAAGAGGCCTTTTGGAAACAGTCTACCTCTGAGAACCAGATGAGTGAGACAGGCCTCTAGGGTGGGCTGGGGCGAGCAGTGCGCTGCAGTTTGGCTTGTGACAAGAGGCTCGAGGGGTGATGCACCATCTGTGGCTGTTTTTCAGTGTCTTTTTTTTTCCTCTGGGGTCTTCTGTTAGGAAGGTGAATGCTGTGTTGTATGTTATGTGTGAATGTCTTTAGAATGGGGTGCGTGTGTGTGTGGGAGGGGGAATCAGTGAGAGCTGTAAACACTTCCAAAGTAACATCCTTTAGCTGAACAAGCTTGCATGGATCTGCCCAGCTTGAGATTTTCAGACATCAGTCACCGCAAAGGCATCCACACCTGCGAGTGTATGTGTGAGAATTAATTAACACGTTCATCCGTGTGCGAGCGATGTATATGCGGCGTGTGCGTGTGTTCCTATTAAATCAGTATGAGAGTGAATACCTGTACGGGCATGATCGTCGGTGTTAATAAGATGCAGTGCTTTGGGGGAGGTGGGGTGAAGGATTACAATGGGCCAAGGCGCCAAGGGTGTTAGTAATCTCTAAATGGAGGCTGTGGCAGGAAGTAACACGAGTATGACAAACAGACATGCTGTCATGCTGGGGAATGCAAACCACTGCGCCACAATGTGTACAGTCAAGACCAAGGAGGAGGAGCCAAAGAGAGATCGGACAGGGCATCGTCTTCAGAGGAATGTTATGCAGGAAAAAGGAAAATCTAAATATGACAGGAGAAATATTTTGGTCCAAACACCTGCCACTGTGGAATCAAGTCAATGAATTTCCTTTTGTGAAAATGTATCTCTACTGCAAGAAGCTCCTCTTCATATCTCTCCAGCAGGCTCGGTCTTGTCAATAACAAGATGCTGATAGCCGGCCTTTCTCTGCCCAGGAGAGCAGAATGAACCAGTCTTATCAGCTAGGATCGTGTTGGTTTCTAGAAATCAATTCCTCAGTGAATAGAATGTCTATGATTGGATGCAAGTCAGGGATCTGCTCTATTGATTGCAGGTAGCAGAGCACCCCCCCCCTCCCCCACTCCAAAGCCTAAATCAGTTCTGGTAAAATAGAGGCACCAAAGGAGGCCTCTGAGCCGTTGTCGTGGGCGTTTAAAATCCTTTGCCTTTTCATTCGACTGCAGCGGTGGTTCCTCGCACGTCTCCCTGTCTGCGAAGCTGTGGGCAAACAGAGGGAAATGGACACCATATTAGATTTGTGCGAGCTTAACAGGTGAGGGGCAGGTTTAGTGGACGCTTGCATTTCAGTGGATCCCTTCATGAACGGTTGCTGGTTACTGCGCATGGGCTTGTGGACTAATTTCTATTCATGATGTATAACAGAGATGTATTTCTTGCATCATAAACCATAAAAAGAAAAAAGAAAATTCAACAAATGTCCTTTTGCAAACTGAAATATTTAGCCTTTGCTTAGAAATCTGCTCCAACAGCCCTTATCGAGCTCCATGTTTGTCTTCTAGGTAGATAAAAGCATCACTTCCAAATTCTCCCAACCTGAGGCTGATGGCTTTGGAAAGTCAATTAGTGGTAGAATCTGATAGGCGAACACCTTAATGGAACAGTTCAAACTAACGGTGAGTCTAAACAGATCTGATGAAATGGTACGAGGATCCACCCACGGACTTCTTCATCCTTTTCCCGTTTCTTCTCAATCACGGCACAGACTCCTTCTCAACTGCAAAATTCCATTTGTATGTTAATGAGGGAAAAGGAGCCATCTTGAGCCCCCCCACCCCTTTTTTCCCCCCCTTGTGCCTCCCCCTTCTATACCAACAGCACTCGACCAGTATACACCAAGAAGGGCAGACATGACTGTTGGTGCATCGTCTCCACAGCGAGATTCTCATTCACCCGGTACAGTCTCGTCAAGGACCTGAATGGCAGCGTCTGCATGTCGGCCTCCACATCCCTCTCTGATGGCATCCGCTTGTTTACTTACTCCCAGGGAAAATTAGAAACACATGCTGAATTGGGCGAGCTGTGAGGGAGGAGGGGTGTTTGTTGGTAGGCCAGGAATGTTTGAGCCCACTCTGGCCAGTCCATCCTCGAGTCCTCCCGTTTTCTCCTTGTACGGCCAGAGCGCCCAGGCTGATATTTAGAGCAGTGCCAAGGGCAAACCAGTGCTACGGTTCTACACAGTGAGATTCACAGAAACCTGTAATTTAAAGAGAGGATTGCTTTTCTCCTCTGTGGGGAGGCTCTAGTTTTCAGGTATTGGTCGTGAGCAGGTCTTTTGTGTATGTTTTTACCTGCTGGCCACCTCTTCAAAAGAATTAGCATGGGTGATTCTGAGAAAGGTCTGGCCAGATGTTAAAGCAATGCATACACAAGCATGTGCACATAAGCAACAGACACTGGTACAAACCACGGTTGGATATTTTCACTGGGTCAGCAAAAACGCCTACCGACCGAGCACATACATCATGTTTATCTGCAAACTGGTGTTATTGATTCACTTATTCAGAGTGAGCTATGGAGTTGCAAGTGGTGCACATTTAGACACAGTGGACAAAAATCCCTTTGACAACCCGGAAGAGTACAGAGTGAAAGCAGCAGCAGAGGCGTGCAGCGACCGAAACCCCACAGTGAACAGAGAAAGCATCCGAGAGACCAGCAAGAACTTACACAGCAACACTCAAGATCTAAAGCTGGCCGGGCTACTTGTCTGCAGCCTTTGTACCGCGCACAAAGCCCTTCTTACGCATCTAGACAAGAATGAAATACAGTAAATAACAGAATTAGGGATTAGGAAGCATGTTAGGGCACATAGGACTAGTAACCTCGGAGAAGCTTGTTTCTTTTACTTGTTAATCAGGCAAGCATCAGAAATGGAGGCCCAGAGACTGAACACTCTTGATATTGGGGCAGTTGTGCGCACAAAATCCATCACTGACCAATAATATGTACTTCATATGCACAAGGTTTACTCTTAAATGGTGGGTCATTTTCTACTTCTGCCCTCACCTCTTCCAGCTCCCTCTGTGTCTCCGCCTCCATCCGCCTGATATCATCCATAGTCAGCTCCACCCACTTATCAATCCAACAAAAGAGCTGGCGGTGGAAGTTAGTGAAGATCCTCTTCTCTTCCTGGGGGAGACAGTGGTAGTCTTGGGTTAGGGCTGGGTATTATACACACGTATATATATTATTAATGAAGATCATATATCATCACCCAGAGCTGGTCTTGGTCAATCAGACAGTCAAGGGGCAAAGAACTGGGACTCAGAGCCTGAGCTAGATAACCGTCTGTGTGAAGTGTAACGGTGTAAACCGGTCACTCTAACCTTATGGATGAAGTTCTCCACTCTGGTCTGCAGGCCCCACCACTTGAATTTGACTGTGACCAGTTTGTAGGCGCACATCCTCGGGCAGTCCGTCTTATGAACCAGCTCCTTCTGTTCAGAGAAGAAAAGCACGACAAGACTTACAACCCATCACTTTCTAAAAAGTGCCGTATCAGAATAAATAAGTCAAAACTTGACAGGAACTTGGCAACGAGAGACTGATCCTAAAAACAGCAGAAGGCTGACAGAATATTATTTAAGACTAATCTTGGCTGCATTCAAAGCAAAAAAAAAAAAAACATTAATATGTAATGCTTTGGGTATGGAGCTTGCTGAAATAATTATCAATATGAAGATGTGCTGTGCAGAGATAAAAGTGCCCTAATCTACAACACACTTTCTAATCCATCCGCTGCTGCACTCTGTCTCCCTCTGAAGAAAAGAAGAAAAGGAAGCGGGGGGGTTGGGGTGGGGGCAGAGCAAAGTGGATAAACTCCAGATGAAGGGACCATTTCTCTGCCTCCGCCCTGACAGCGACACCGTTCCCGACAGGCTTGCCTTTGTGGCCACGGAAGGCAGATAAAGCGGTGCTCGCGCAGCGATAAGGGCGTCGCGGTGCAAAGCTGGTTACATTATTAACACCTAGGACCTCCTCGCCCCCCAGAACACACACACACACACACACACACACACACACACACACACACACACACACACACACACACACACACACACACACACACACTCTCTCTCTCTCTCTCTCTCTCTGAGAACACCTGTTTAATTAATCACTTCATTCTGCCGCAGCATTCCAAGAGAAAATGCCACAGACCCGCCTCAATCACCATCATCCCACTGTCGTTTGATGCTGCGATCATGGAGGGCGGGAGCGTGAGAGGGGAAATGAGAAACATTTCTAAATTTGCAGTGGGTTTAGAAAAGTTGTCATCGCTAAAGGAGAACTTCACATGAAACGGATTCTACATCAAAACACTTACGGTGACATTTCTTCTCTCCCTCTCTGTGCCCTACTCAAAGGAGCAGAAGTTTTCAGAAATACAAAGGGTACCGATATGCAAGCATGTGTGCATGCAGAGATAGACAAGAGTTTTATTGCTCTGAGAAGCTGAGAGAAATTGTGCCTCTGTTGTCACATAACTGCTTTTTTTTTTTTTTTCCACCTTTTCAAAAACACTTTTTTCCGTGTTCACAGCGGACGGGAAAGTGATCTAATTAAAAACACAAAATGAAAAGTTGTGCTTCTTTATTCAGACTTTTTAAAGCTGTTTGGCTGCCTTTGTTCTTGAAGCGGAGGAAAGTTTCCCATGGTGAACTTTGAGGACTCCGCTGCAGACTAGAAATTCTCAAAGCTCCAACAGTGAGCAGGACCCATTTGTGAGGCTGCGGGGTACGAGAGGGTATAGAGGGGAACGCAGAATAACTCCTGACGTGGATAAGCTATGTCTTATTACTCTCTATCAAAAGTATATCTGTCTTAATACAGGACTGCCGCTTGTCAAATTTACTATCAATGTCTCCACACACACACACACACACACACACACACACACACACACACACACACTATGTTTCCCCCATTTCTGTCACACACAAAGTCTGGCAGAAGGAGCTACGAGTAAAACCTTTATCCGACCTGGTGACTAGAAATATCCATTACATCCAATCAGAGCCGAGAAAGAGGCGGTTTGTCTTCATCAAACTGCAGCCTCACAGTTCTGTCGACCCCAATCCGGCTCTGTGCTCTCCTTTGCACAGAGCTATTCGGATTATTACAGGCGATAAACCATAAAAACACCAAATAACTCAATGTGTAAGTCTTCACCCCCTTCATGTCAAATTTAGAAGTGATGTCATCAGTACGCAAATAGGTCGGCATTATTTGTAGCACATCTGGACACGCCACAAATTGATTGAATTGTGGTCTGGTCTCTGATTCTGTAACTCCAGGACGTGAACATTGTTTTTTTGGTTTTGTTGAACATTGTTTTTTTGGTTTTATTCTTCTCTTGCAGACTGTGGCAGGTTTCCCTCAAGGGTTTCCCTGTCTTTTGCAGCATTCACTTTACCCTCTTACCATCAAGAGCTGCTGCAGAGCAGTATCCCCACAGCATGATGCAGCCACTACCAAACGCCACACTAAAGGCTCAATCTCGGTTTGCTCTCAAACCACTGAACTTAATTCCTCTGTATTTGAGAGGCTCCCACATACCTTCTGGCAACACAAGCTAAAGTGTGTTTTGTTTTCAACACAGGGTTATTTGTTTTCTTGTATGCATAGCATCACCCATCCCAGCCATTGAACCCTGTAGCCTCTTCAGAGTTAGCATCGGCCTCACTGTGGGGTGGACAGTCTGCTCTACACCGATTTACGGAGGTCCCATCTTCTTTCTAATTTATTAAGACCGACAGCACTATATTTAGTGCTTTGGAAAATATGTACGAAATATGAGAAAGCACAGTTGCAGACCCGGTTCTTGCGTGAATGACAGTGACCAGGTGTAGAGCCCTTTCAAAGTAAAACGTGGGTTTAGTCTTTGTTTCTTCTCCTGTGACATTGATTGCCACTTGTGTGTGAATCTGATCATTTCCACGGCTTACAAGAGCGTTACCTTCCAGGCGGGCCCAAGGGGTCCTCTGCCAGTCTTAGCCGACTTGAACTCGGCCGGGTCCTCATCTAGCTTGTAGTCCTACAGGAAGAGAAATGTATATAATTAATACAACACATAGCACATTATATTTAGCTGACACACTGTTCCACAAGCTGAGGTAATCGGACCGAATAGTGTTCTGTTTTTGGAAACTAAAGTTAAGAAATCTACAACTTTTGTCACATTTTGAAGTATTTAAGCATGCTAAGATACGTACATCATTTGTATCATAATACTCTAAATTAAAGCACGAATCAAAAGAAAGTTTTCTTCCACTACGGCATTCAGCAGGTTACAGAATTTGTGGCACGTTTGTCCCCTGCTGTTCACGCACTGTGCTCTAAGGTGAGCAGCACAGCAGTCACTGCCACCGAGAGGCCAAAGAGGACTGCACTCATTCTCCAAAAGCTGCCAGCCCCCGGAGATAATGTCACGCAGCAAGACCGGAGCACAGCTGAGCTGTAAGCGGCTCGGCGATAAACGACCATCGATGGGGCGTTGATGCCACCAGCGACTGTTTAATCGGGGCGACCCTGGTGCCGGTTCATATACATGAACGTATATGCTTGCACCTACCTGCATTAATTCCCATCTCACAGGAGAATCTAAAAGATTTTTAAGCCTGTAGAAAAACACTGAGCGCATATGCTAAGCACATGACGAAGTTGACTTCATAAAAAAGGCAAAAGAAACACCAATAAATGAAATAGCTTTCATATTATCAACAGCTCAAGGGCCCAGCAATTGTAAATAAATCATGATGCGCCTGCAGCTAAAAGCTACTTTTCAGGGCTATTGGCCAACAGGAGGGTGCCAAACGTGTGGAAAGAGATACAAACCCACACACAAACACACACACACACACAATTATTTGGCTGTTCTAATGCTGAGAGCTCCAGCACTATAACAATACACTCCGCTGCACTAATGAGGTCTGTGAATCGATATGCCGTGGTAGACTAAAAGGAGCTACTCCACAAGTAAAAACAGTGTGTGTGTCAGAGTGCGAATGCATTTGTGTATTTGTCTCGTTCCAGGATACGAAGCACCGTGAGCCTTAATTACACTAACAAACTCATCTGTGCTGGCGGTACGCCCCGGGCCCTGCAGCCATGCCCGAGGCTGAGGGCTGATAGGGTCCTCAGACACAACACACTCCTCCAGCAAGGCAAACACCTCCGCCTCGTTAACTACCCACCACACACACACACACACACACACGCTGCTCAGCCAAATAGCCTCACATAGACAGACACACACACTGTGAAATGAGGCAATGTGATGTCAAACAACAGCAATAATGTGTAACATCTTCAAATACGATTTCAGAGTATCAGAAACTCATGTTTACATTCTGAAATATTATTGAGGCAATCTTAGGATGCTCAAATGGTGTGTGTGGAGTTTTGATATGCTTTAAGAAGATTTCAAGGCGATGCTTGAAAACATAATGAAGTGATTAAATCAATCTACTCCGACCGTCTAATGGCATTTTCTGGTGCCAGTTCTAACCATCCACGGTCATTGACAGGTATGCGTTTCATGGTATTTCACCTTCTGGTAATTCATTTTACAAAAACACCTTTCCAGCCTTGGCTCCACTACAACAGTTCCACTGGATACAACATATACCTGGAGGTATATAAGCACTGTTCAATGAGTGGGATCAAACGCTAAATACATATTATTTGGCATCGCCATAGCAAGTTAATCGAGTAGAAAAGTAGTAAAAAGAAGAATTAAATCAGTCAACAGTATATCATTCAACAACAATTTAAATAAAGTAGTAATCTGTCAAATAAATATATCAAACATTTGTAGATTCCAGCTCCTCCAATGTGACGATTTACAGGCGTTTGCATTTTAAATAAAATTAGTTTTTAAAAATGTTGTTCCGATAAGTATTAGCAATTGGATGACGCTTGGCTCTGGGGATATAGACTTTGAAAAACCCAAATATACCTTAATGCTGATCTGTAGAGTACATACAATTGTAGATGCGACAATACTATTTATCAGCAATTATGTCCCTATTTATTTGATTCTCCAAAATTAAACACAGAAATTAAGAAGTTCTTGTGTCACCAAAGAAAATCTGACAAGACTCCTGCTCATCAGAAAGAAGTGAATAAGGCCCGTTTGAACATTCCTGATGTAAAGGGAATAGGGTTTGGCAGAGAGCTTGGTAATGATGAAGCTTGTCCACATGAAGGCACCAAACTGCATTTTTATCTTACGCTGGAAGAAGAGTTTCTACTTACAGCAGTGGACACTACACTTCTGTCTGCAATGTCGATGGGCACAACAGTTACATTCTGCCACGTGGAGGCGTCTAGTTCGTGCACCTGAACAACAAAGAAAAATAATGGTAAGAAGAGCATACAAAGTCAAATCTGATGTTGAAGATGGATGCGTGCCGGATAAGATGCAGAGGTACTGACATTTTCTATTGTTCCAAGGTCTGGTTTGTGCCACGTCTCAATCTTAATGAAGAAGTTGTCTTTCATATACTCATTCTGGAGGGAAGTGTCGGGATATTACAGAACTGAACGTACAGAAAGTAAATTGAATAAGCAAACAAAACAAGCCATTTAAGACTTCCTACCGTCACAACTGTATCAAGGTTAGCCATAAGGAGAGAAAGACAGGAAAAAAGAACCATTACATATGGAAGGAATAAACATTGTAAATTCACATGATGCAAAGTGTATTCAACAATGGAGAGGACAAAGGGTTTCGGGGTAAAGGGATATGGGGGACTCACTGGTTCTGCAGTAGGGGTAAGCGTTCCAGGCTTTCTCATGGAACACCAGGGAGCCTTCAGGAGCAAACATTTTGACAAACGTTGGGACTTTACTGTAGGGCAGGTAAAGAGGAAGGGAACAAGTAGGAAGAGAGAAGACATATTGACATGCCTATGGAATATGAACAACTACAAAATAAGACCAGAGGTAAGACAATGCTGCCACTAACTGGAAGCACGGCGCCATTACACTTTAAGATGGTAATTATGGGATTGATTCATCCAATTGAAAAAGGTAAAAATAAAATAAAAATAAAAAGACATACCTCTTTATGTGGTAGATTTTGTGTGTGTACTGTCCTTTCTCGCCGTCTTTCTCATAGGGCTCATTCTTCAGTACCTCGATACCCTCACCACCGCCTGTCTCATTTTTACTTGCTTCAGCCACTGAGAACAGCTGTCCCACTTGATACTGGAACACAAAAACACACCAGTCACTTACATTACACCCAGAAAATAGACTAAAGCTGAAGCCTATAGCCTTGCTGATGGTTCAGGTTCAACCTTTTTTTGCATGAGACCCCTTAAAATGAAGCATCGACTACCTCATCACGGACCAATACTCTGGACATGACATGTGAGCAGTTCAGACCAAAATAATGATGTTTCCTTTTCAGACTGTTTCATTAGCAGCATTGTACAATAGAAAAAGCAAAAATTCTAGGAAAATAATTTTGTGCAACAGAAATATTTGTCGTCCTTGTTCTTTTCAATATCATGTGACGCCCCAAAAGCCCCGTGTGATGTGTTTATGTTGTGAATCTAGACACACACCTGTGGTATGGAAGCTAGGATCCTTTTTTCAATTATACTAGCTCTAAATACAATGAAGAGCAGACATCATTGCGACAGTCTTTTGTATTTCAAACCTGAAGTCATAACTACATTCTGCAGGGCAATTTAACTAGTGCTGCATGGTGTGATGTTTGAAGAAGGGTGCATGTTTGCTTATATTTCAACTACCAGAGCTCTTATTAGTATTTCTCCACTATAAAGAGAACACTTAATCAATTAATGGACTGAGATTCAGAAAGCATCACTAATTGCCGAGAGGTTTTGCTCATTATGTAAGGCAGCAGGGTGAGTCCGGGATTCATGACATAAACCGAAACAAAGGGGAGAAATTGTGCTCTAAATAAGAACTACAAGTGATGCTTTTGTGGAGGAGACCGTGTTGTCTTAATCTGCAACCAGAAGCCAAACACGGGAAATGATAAGATTGTAGTACATTCATTAATAACTGCAGAAACTCATTTGTTTTCTAGGAAAGGTGCATTACAGAGACTTCTTATAATTGCTATAAGCCTACACTCTGTGACCCACTTTAAGCCCAAATAAGGGATAATCAGGTTCTGCTGCATGTGACACTAACGGATTAATTGCAAGTGTAAAATATATGTGTTGTGAAACTGAAATACTGAATGTATATTAAAGATTTCTTTAATCAAAAGGGAATATCAACCAGTTTTAAGGCTGGAAGAGATGTGTAGGAGAGAAATAAAGGCAGTCTGGCATACATGGCTCCCTTCACTGCACTTGAGCTTATAGTTTGTCGTCATTTATAATGAGAAGTGAAAAGTACAAGAAATTAAGTAGAACCCAGACATTCTAACATAGAATTTAAAAACAGTCATTTATAACTTCACTCATTTTGTCAATGGAATAATAAGGAACACAGATGGATTACTCACCTCCTCAACACTACAGGGTAAAACCACACGGCTGCAAGAGAGAGAGAGAGAGAGAGAGAGAGAGAGAGAGAGAGAAGTGTGGTAACATTCACACAACGCGTTCTTAAAGACAGCGCTCAATAAGCACTACAATGTTACTGTAAACTAAACAAGTATGTTACTATCACAAACAGCATAACACTCAAGGAAGGTACAGAAAAACATCATTCAATGTACTTAAATTGGACTGTGGTCCTAAAAGTATAAAACATAAAATAAACTATAGTAGAAGAAGCAGTGATGCCATAAACACGCATATGAACAAACCTCAACAATGCACAGAAACCATGTCGCTACTACAGAACAGGAAGCCAGTTGTGGTCACTCCCCCTGAGGTAAAAACACCACTGCCCATATTCAACACACTGCAGACATCAGCAAGATGATAAGAACGCATCACTAGACCAGAGTGGAATAATAAAAACTACAATGAAAATGGAAGCAAAGGAAAATGTACACCGAGCGATTTTGGGCCAAAACATTGCTTAAAAACTACAAAAGTGCTGCACAGACCAGTAACAATAGGTACAGCTGTTTTAAAAAGAAAAAACAACTATCTGAATCTTTATTAGACAAGATATCCAAACGTTAAAGACGATATTTACTTTTTGCATAGTTAAGTAAACTGCAAGCCTACTCTACTTGTCCCAACAGACCTTTTGCAGGGTGTGGTATGCCCCAAACAATTGCATAATTTACTCTTATGAAAATGAAGTTTCAGTGAATGATCACAAACCACACAGTGCAAGAGAAAAAAAGTAGGCGGAAGTTCTTTCAAAGCATAAATCAGAAGCAAGGGCTGTATTCTACGCTGACATGATTCGTTTACTCTGGCGTAAACCATAGACTGTACACAAGAAGTGGAGGTAGTCATCGTGACGTCACCATTTGGTTCGTGGACTGCCGTTATGAAGCCTCGAGTTCGGGTTTGCCATCTTGGAATACGGCCGTCGCCATCTTGGTTATTTTGCAACCGATGAAGGGAAGTAACCCTATCTGGAATGCGGAGGAGTGATGTATTGACGGTAGCGTCAGCGACCTGTCAATCACAGTAAGCCCGCCCTAAAGCATACCATGCTTTATGGTCTATTTGACTCTAAATGGACCATAATTGAATAAATGGATATCATGCTGGATTGAAGAAGACTTGAAACTAGCGATTGAGAGCACAAACTCATGTTTACTGAGATAATAAATCAAGCGAGAAGTAGGGTCATTTTCTCATAGACTTCCATACAATCGGACTTCTTTTTACAACCAGAGTAGCCGCCCTGTAATGGTCAATAGAGATAATGCAAGTTAGAAGACACTTCCGCATCACGCGGCAGAACTAGAGGTTGATGCCTGGAGTAAACACGCATTTTTGTTTTATTGTTTCTGACTGCACTTCTTCTACTTTGTGTGGTCTTTTGATGATGAGCTGTGGCAACCCATGCCATAGAGATTTAGCATTTTAGTCCAGAATTAACACTTCTATATTAACTTGTGTTGAAATTAGTTTAATCTTCACAATTACACCCAGTGACCGATGATGTTTTATCTTTGCAGAAAGGCCACTGCTAACTCTAAAGCACAGCTTAGTGATGCGTGACGGTCACTTTGGAGACAATCAAGGGCACATCATGATACTCAAGATGTAAAAATTAACTGGACAGGAGCATAGTAGGGTAAGGACTGGGTTTTGAAGCAAATTTCACAAAGTAACAAAAAACAACAAAAATACTTTTCACTTGCTAGCCACAAAAGCTTGATTGGGTTCAATCTGATAGCAGAGTGGTAGAAAAGTCACCTTTACAGATATCTATTTAGATGTTATTTTGTATGAAGGGTTTGAAAAAAGGCATGCTTTGTATAATGAGAACAAAACACTGTACAATGGTGCAACCAGACTGACAAGTGAAAAGGCAGAAAGGGACAAAGATACCTCTGAGCAGTCGAATAAGAGCAGAAGAAATTACAAGTCACTGGTAAAAGAAACTCAAAGCTTAGCATCAGAATATGTGCAGATCGAACTAGGAAAAAGGTTTTTGTTTCAGTGTCAAGCGCACAATAATGCCTATAAGAAGCAAAGCTATTCCTAAAAACTTCCTGAAGAGAATGTTGGTCTAAGGTTAGCAATGTTGGAACTGGATCACAGAATATCAGCTGAACATACTATGTACCGACAAAACTGGCAAATAATGGTTAAAATATAATCACAGAGTGACTGCAGGGGACCCCCCCTAAAAAAACAACATAGCCTTACTTTAACACTTTATACATATCTGTAGATAGCCAGAGTTTCTGTGGCACACAGAAATTAAACTAGTGTCATTGTCCGTCCATCCATCCACTTGTATATCCAAATGAACAGGGTGCTCGAACTATGGACTTAAGAAATACCACTTAAGTACAAACCACTGCAATATGCATAAATAAAAGTACATGCTTTGTTTAGAAATACAATATGGACAGGAATAAAGTTCCTCAAGAGCCAGATCAAGCCACTGACCAAACGACGACTATCTTTCCAACATTCAATAAATCAAAAGGCATTACCCAAACGTGAGAGTTGTTTCAGAGCTTTGCTGAAATAGAATAAAGTTGTAAATGAACATATCCATTTGTCTATTACATTCTAGCGTTCGTTGTGATTTGGTAGATTGCTGTCACGTCCCTGTGCTACAGGTCTTCCTGCCTTGATCTGCGACCAACTCGTTTACCGATGGAGGCGAAGTTAAAAACGAGCACCTTAACATGTCTCAATCCAGCAGGCAAACATTTTACAAAAGTGTGACTTAAGTCATGACCGACTTCTGTGGTTTGACGTCTTCTTCTAGCTGACAATAGTTAATGTCAACACGAGCATCTTATGATCAAACTTGTTAACTCACAGAGCTAACAGCTAGCTAGCGTTACCTGAACACTACTACCGCTAGCAGGCTAACGTCAGTAGATGGAAATGGTCTGGTTTGACAAGAGAGGGCGAAAAAACAGTGAATCCGCCATTAATCAAAGTCTCTAATCTTGGGTAAGATTAGTTGGCTTCGCCACGAGTGTATGTAACGTTAAGAGAACATTAGCAGCGCTAAGTGGTTCACAGCCATGTTAACGCTAAACCGTTAGGTGTAACGTTAACGTTAGCTAGCATTAGCAAACCGTGAGTCTCGGCTCCAAGTTAAATAAAGTGGTAAAGCTTGAAAGTACACACGCCGGTACTCTTATCCTTTAAAAACGCATAACACAAACCACAGACTGAATTGTTTTGAAGCTAGCAAACGTGACTTAACGTGAACGCATAGACAGACTAGCTAAGATTAACAGCAGCTGTCACACAGTGCCGCACCGCTGTCAACGCCGGTAACGTAGGCCAGAGCAGCTCTTGAGTAATTCCCACCCTTCCCTCGTGTGTCTGACACAGACACTGAGACAAGATGGAGAAGTTTTCATTAGTGACAAACAACTAAAAAAAAAAAAAATCTGTCCTGCCTATCGGAAGTCGTTACTACACGATGTTGTAAGTTTTAACTTGAACATGTTGAAACTTACTACTCCTTGATGAGGGTCATCGCTGCTTGTTTCTCGAGATACGACCGTTACTGCCCAGGAGCGGACGCTGATTGCTACTGACGTCACGAGCTACTAAGAGCCGTCTCGGCCCCTCCCTCGTGAGCGGTGATTTGCAGGAGGAGGCATGAGACGGGCATGCTAATTCCTATTAACCAATAGAATCTCTTCCTGGTGGCTTTAAACCCGCCTATTGCACATCTGGGTAACTGCCGCTGCATCAGTTCCTTATTCTGCCACTCGCATTAGAGAAACAAAAGCAAAACTACCTTTGTGTGTCAGAAATATATGTTTGTTTTTAATTATCTTGTAAGCCCTCTTACGTTTCTTGGGACCCCTTGAGGGACAACCGCTGTACTGTGATGTCTGTCCTAACAATGTAAACTCAGAAATACAAGAATGAAATACATGGTTGTTTTTTTTTATTGAAACAGTTCACTGATAAATGACAGATGGTTGTCATGAAACTTCAAAATCATGGGCTAAAAAGGTCATACATGGTACTTAACATTGAATAGCAAGAGAATCCATGCTTCAGAGCAGACACTCAATTCACAAAGAAATCAGGCAAAATGCCCTTTTGATTTCAATAAAAAATATTAAATCTTTTTTTCCCCCAGTCGATCCATCTTTACAAGGTACAGGTTTGTTCACTTTTTTAATAATATAAAACGTTTAATACTGATTGTGAAACACTGGAATTAATTTACAAAACATAATTATAATAATTATTATAATATTAATAACAACAAACAATAACAATAACCATTCAATTTAAAAACAAAACAAATAGAATGGAGGAAATCAGTCATAGCTGTTGCATCTTGGCCCACACAAACAGCAAAGAAAAATACCAAATGGCATTTACATTTACCTGACACACAGTTACACACAAACACAGTATCAGGTCTGAGTATTTCTCATTGCCATTTACAGTGTTATGGGCACAAAGACAAGATTTTCTCTAAAGCATTCATGTGCCTCTTCAGGGTCGCACCCACTGACCAATCAAATCCTTCTCATTGTCAGTCAAGCTTGGCGGACCAATAGTGGCCCTCAAAAAGTGCCCTACTCGCACAGAACAGTAAATAATAGATAGATAAAAGTATAGGACTGTTTTAAATGTCTCAGCATTTAGAGGAAGGGAAAAATCTTCCAGGCGACAGGAACTTGTATCCATTCCCAGCAGGTAGTCGGATAGAACGAGCACCAGGACTACTTCTTGTGGAAATAGTAGGAGATGGGGCCACTTTCCTAGGGTTGGAGCAGTGGTGTCCATTGTTCTTGCTGCCCCTATCCAGTGATTGCAGCCCCAGCTCCCGCAGCTCCAGGCTGTCTTGGGTATCATTAGGAGAGCAACGGCGTGGAGAGAGGTTCAGAAGGCTCAGTACATCTCTACTGGCAGAAGCAAAGGGTCCAGGACCACCGTGGACGGCTCGGACAGGACCTAGATGTTGCTGTTGCTGGGCTGCAGCATTAGCCCAAAAGGTCTTCAGATTGTGGATAGCTTGGACTTTTTCATCAATGACTCCTCTTCTCAGCCGGTCCAAGTCTGGCACATCAGTCGATGTAGAGCAGGCAGAGCCTGTAGAGGAGTACGACAGGGCGGGGGATGGAGCACTACCAGATGGGGACTGGTGACCAGAACTGGGAGACACATTACTCGGGGAACGAGAGATGTGGCCGCTGTATGGGGAGCTTGGGTACTTTAATCTAAACTGTGCATGGCTGTCCAGAGTGGGCGATGGATGGCTGCCCTCCTTTTGGGAAGACTCAGAGATTGCAGGACTATTGTAGCCAGAGCTTATTTTCTGCAGCGAAGAGGAACGGGAGGGAGGTTTGGGCCTTGGGGAAGATTGAGCTCTGCCGCTAGCACTGCTGTTAGGACGGCTGAACGCACTAGTTTCAGAAGAACGGAAGGCGCTGCTCCGTGCTGAAGTTCCCCCAGCTGCTGCACCCTCTGGCCCAGCCCGCTGTAGACTACCTACAGCCCATAGATGGCTCTGAGTCTCCTCCAGAATCTTCTGGGCCAGCTCTTGAGGATCCAGAGGGACAATTTTCTCTTCCTGAGACTTGACAGTACTGTCCGTCTCGGTACTGGACTGGTCAGATTCACCTGTATCCGAGGTGCTCACCTTACCAACCTTCTGGAATGGTGAGTTTGGGCTGGCCACCAGACATGTTTTAACAGGGGACGTGGGGGTGCTGACACTGCCCCTTGACGATACTGATACAGTGTAGCCTCTTCCTGCTCCTGTGCTGGACCCACAAACAACCCCCCTGCCTCCACGGTGGTGGCGCTGGCTGTGGCCTGGTGGCAGGGGCAGAGAGTCACAGTGGCTTCCCAGAGGCTCGCTGCTGATAATGGAAAAGCCCTCATATTCCTCATCATCTCCCCGGGCTCCTGCCGCTACAGCAGCAGCTGCCCCATGAGGAGAGGAGCGACTACGGGGAACATGAGGGTGTTTGTGGATAGAGTAGTGTGCTGTGGCCCCACTGCGCTGCCGGTGACCTAGGAAATCACACTCCGACTTGGAAACAAAGCTCATGGAGGAGGCTACAGAACTTAGGCTATAGACAGAGATAGCATCTGATGCCTGATTGTCCAGGCAAGGAGGAGAGAAGGGAAGGCTTGAGTATCCCATGGGAAGGGGGTTGGACACAGACTGGGCTGAAGCTAGAGACTCGAGGGAAGATGAGCTATCCAGGCTCAGACGCTTGGGCAGTTCTGTGGAGTCTGAACAAAGAGAAAAGGAAGTGAAAAGAAATGTGACCTGATGAAAACAACAGAATTGTAAAAACGGTTGAATGCAAATTTTGGATGATTACAATGTAATGACATAAATGATATGATGAACATGAGCATAAATGATACAATGAACATGAGCATATGAGTATATTTACCAAATAGTGCCAGCAGAGACTGGAGAGCAAAGTGCAAGGTGCGGCGGTTGGCTAGCTTGCCTGTCTTCAGCGCCACTTCTTCTTGGCCCACCTCGCACAAGTCAAATCCTGCACAAACACATGAGGACAGCAGCTGTAACTTATAAAATTGTCAATGTGCAGTCCACGGGAGACATGAATGCATGCATGGTGTGTGGACAGTTTTTAAAATCGGTGATAGTTGACTCACCAACAGCAGCCAGAAATTCATGGCATCCTGGCAGTCTCCACAGCTGCACACTGATGGACACCTGAATGGGCAGGAGGGAGAAATCCTGTTCTTTCTCTCCTGTCTGGAGTTGCACTAGCACCTGGTGGAGCTGGAGAAGAAGCGGGAGACGACAAAGAGGGAAAATAGCAGTGTAGTGGTTAGGAATGAGTACAAGAATAAAAGAAACTGGTGAATTCTACTGGAGATGCGATTAATCGGTAAAAAGAATTTGTGTGATCAAACAATTTCTATTTTATCAAGATATAAATCATCCAAGTACTAAGTTAAATAGTTCCATATTTTCAATGAATACTGCATTTTCATCTATGTGGCAGCTACATGTTATTGTGGAACTACTGTAAACATATTTAGTGGAGTAGGTATGAATCTGTTTCTCCACACGTTTGAGCCCGACACTCGATTACTCAGGGGGAAAAGAACACCTGCAGGGAAGCAGCGCTGAAAGGGTCTCAGCTTAATGAGGGTTTACAAGTGCCCTGGAATCACGCTTGCATTTTTTGTTTCGGGATTACTTGGCCTGGGACAGAGCCACCTTTGTCAACATGACGTAACTGTGCAGAAAGTAGAAACATGCCTCGCCTGCTCACTTCATTCTTCATAATTGTGGGAGGTTTATTTTTTACATCACAGCTTTATCCCTTACACCACCCTGAAACATTCTTCTGACATGTAATGAACCAGGGTTGTAAATCCTTTCATACTCAAAATCCCTTGGATCTGACTGCAGGAACCACCAATGAACACATGATGAACATTGTAAACGATTGCCCGGCTAAGCTTTATGCATGCATATGCTGAGTGGCATGAAAAACAACAAAACTGATTATCAAATTGTCATGCAGCTTCTATACGCAAGAAGGTGTATTTTAGTTTAGCAGGACAGAAAAGAGAGTGGCGCAAGAAGGGTAGAACGGGATGGAGTGCAGGTAGTGAAGCCACACTTACCATTGCCACCATATTTTTAACAGCCTTCAGACAGCACGTTAGGGGCAGGGGAGAGAAAATAGGCTTTTTAATTGCATGCATAATTGACTTTCACAAAGGGCACAAGGGATCAGGTCAACAAGAACAGCAACAGCAACAAGTAACAGAGGTGTTTTATAGTTTTATGCAATAAGCATACATAGATTAGGTTGAACATGTTTTGTGCATTGAGACCAGAATTGGCAATATGAGGAAACAAAGCCTAATCACCAACTAACTGGATCGTCTTACGCTTTAAGCATGTGATAGCCACATGTTACACGTTAAGAGGGATAAAGGCATGAGATTAATTCTTTGGTGTCACAAGCTTGGGTGCAAGAGAACAGGACTCGGATTGTAGTTCAGACTTTGTTGTTGCAGTACTGCTAGTCAGGCTTCCATGCTGCATTTCAAAGCAGATTAAAGCTGCAGCTTGAGTTGCCAGTGCGTTAGCATGTATTCACGCAACACAACTGTCAAGTTACACAATGACATACCCCCGATAAAAGTGTCACAGAAAATGAGAGGGACTGTCTCAATAGATCTTAACACTGAATAATAGCAATGGTGTTTGTCGTTTGAGCCAAAGACCAATTTCTATCTAGAGCATTAGATTTAAGAATCCAGTTGCATTTGCTCAGAGCTGCAGGGGCCTACCCGATTGATGAGCTGCTCTGCTGCCTCTGAAGCTGTGATGAGTTTGCACAAAGCCTGGAGAGCTGGCGGCGGCAGACCTGAGGGATGGGATCAAAGGAACTTCCTCATTATTTATACACAAGGCACACTCTTTATACTCCAAACTATATCTAAACAGGTGATCCATGGAGTAATAGGAACTGTTACAAACACAGAGGCTAGAACTATGTGGAAAACAATGTTAAAAATAATTGTACAAAACACATAATCACCAATTAAGTAAAACACTAGGCAGATTCTCAAGTGCATACCCA